TTTCTACAAATCTGTTCCAATGAAGAAATAAACTTTGGGTGAGGGCGAGTAAATTGTCAGTCAATCTTAATTTTTGGGTAACTTTAATTTGATCAGTAGTAGGTCTACGCGCTGACTACAATTACGTGACCAAAGAACAACAGAACAAGAAATGTTTCCCATGCATCTTTAATACCTTCTGTTTGATTGCAACAAGCCACAGGCTATTAGAAATTGAAAGTGAAAAGTGAAATTTACATCATGTGTAGCCAAGTATGGTACAGTGACCATGACAACACTGCACAAAAACTAAGATAGATCACACATTGCATCACTGTCAAGCACCTACTATAACATTCAGAGGTGTCTTTCATATCATCTTCAAATATGACTGCAAGCATGATACAATTATGTGTTTAGACTTAAATGGCCAATTAACATTAGTCCTGCAAACCAAATACAGATTTGTATTGAAGGTGTTTTATCAGACATAAAGTGGAGGTAAATTACAGACTCTCTTGAGGCGTGTCATAAGCTTTAATTTGTGTATTACTTGAAACAGAAAGTCATTTTAATCAGCTCTTCAACAATACTTCTGTTTCAATGATAGTTTTAAGGGGAGGAGTTTGCTTGACACATCATCTGGGACAAGGAAAGAACAGAAAGTTTAGTAGAAGAACATCTTGTGCTGAACTAGAACTTCATCCTGATTATGATCAACATGTTACTCTGCTTAACTGGTTTGATTTGTTCTCTTATATGTAAGTATTCATTTTATTTGGCTTTTCTATAATTTTGTCTAGTTGAGATTAGTAAGTGTGGGTGTTTGTGTTAGTTCATTTTTATGTACATTGCATTTCTATAAATTGACTCTTTGACTCTTGATTTTGAAGGTGTCAGTTTCGCGAATGTCATCACGCCAGTCCAGACTGAGGTTTCTAAGAAAGAGGGAGAAAATGTTACTCTGTCCTGTAGCTACTCCTCAGCATCCACACTGCAGTGGTATCGCCAGTATCCCGGATCAGCTCCTGAATTTCTTTTGATAATAATACCTTCTACAGGAAAAGTTTCACAAAAGTCAGAAATTGTGGATCGAGATCCTCGATTCTTTGGGAAAGTGAATGAAGAGAAAACCCATGTGATTCTAGAGATCTCCTCCACTAAACTGACAGATGCTGCTCTGTACTACTGCGCACTGACGCCCACAGTGACAGGAAACACAAGAACTCTGTACAAAAACCCTCCCAACAGCTAAACTATAGATGAATGTACCATAAATTGCATGTCTTCTGAATATATTACATATATATTACATATGTATATTTTATAATATATGAAATATACTCTTTATCATTGTGTGCTAGAAGAATCCGAAAACAAAAACCTGAAAGACTATTACAGATTTGCAGTGACACAATTATACATCATCTATTAAGAAATTATAATTCTGATGTGGAATTACACAGAGATTTGCATTCAAAATACAGATGTACACTATTGATTAAAATGCAATGTTAATGTTGCATTCGTGATTGTTAAAATGAAATGTTTTAAAATGGCTAGTGATTGAACATCACACTTTATTCATGCTCTTCATTCATAGTCTTCGTAAAAGTCATGTAATCCAATATAGAGTAAACCTGGGAAAATATTTCTGAAATTTCTGTTGTGACAACAAAAGTGAACAATTATACTGTTTTGTTGGAGCATTTTTGCACATTTTTGGTCTCTATTATGAATGCATCAGTTTTGTGATACATGTATATGTTTGTCATCAGCCACAAGGGGGTGAAGTTACAACAGAAACAATACATTCAGTCTGAACTGAGTAAATGATGTTTAACTTTCAAA